CAAGTTTTGCCGGCTGCTCGGTCTATAGTATATTGTTCAAAGTTGTTTTTAATAACTGTAATGATATACATATGCATGTTAAGTTTATTAAGATGCGTAAATGCACAAGATTTCAAGGGGGTGGAATATTTTCATTTACTCAGCTGCCTTAAAAAATAGTGGAATATTGGCGGTAATAGCCTTAATCTCTGCCTTACTTGCAAGTACCGTTTACAACTATTACAATAGTCAATTTCTTATTCTCCTTTACTAGCGTAGACAACGCTTTCGCGGTTATTGTCTAGTTAGAAACAGCGCGACAGTCGTCTCTTCTTTTCGCAACGTGGCGCCAATTCGAGATACCTAGTGCAGCTGGGTTCTTCTCTATCTGATCTGTCCAACGACGTGGAGATCTTCCTTTCCCTCTACGTCCCACGGCCGGTACTGCGTCGTAAACTTTCAATTCTGGAGCGTTTTCTTCGATACGGACGACATGACCTAGCTAGTCTCTTAATTCGCTGAACTATGTCGATGTCGTCGTATAGTCATCGTTCAATCGAATACGATATTCGCCGTTGCCTATGCGCATGGGACCATACCTTTTCCGTAGAAACTTTCGCTCGAAAACTCGTAACCCCGACTCATCAGATGTTGTCTCTGTACCATGTATCAGTACGCGAGTAATGTGTGAATTATAGAACTTGATCTTTATCAGAAATAGCACCTAATGGCAAGAGTTATTCTTTGCTGGATTTCGAGGCTGATATTGCTGTTGCTATTAATACTGGTTACAAGATAGACGAAATTATCTATGACTTCAAAGTTATGACTATCAACAGTGGCGTGAGAGCCAAACCACGAGTTCGACGACTGATTGTTTGATGACAGGACATATTTCGTCTTGCCCTCGTTCACTACCAGACCCATTTGCTTCGCTTCCTTATCCATTCTGGCCAATGATATGAATACCAACCACGTACGCCAGCAGCTTTACACTCTTATAGAAGAATGTACCTTCTCTATATAGTTCTGCAGCTCGAATTATTTTCTCCAAGAGTAGATTTGAAGAAGTCACACGTCGTCTTGTCTGAAACCTCGTGAGGTATCGAACACCTCGGAGAGCTTCCCGATCTTGGCGGAGCGTTTGGTATTGCTCAACGTCAATTTACACACCATATTACCATTTTAGTTTTGCTTGATATTTCATATGAATGTCTCGAAAATTGGGGAACTACTTCGCATGTATAGAGCCAGTCATACGGACGGACATGACTAAATCGACTTATCTCGTCACGCTGATCATTTATCTATTTAGGTCTCCGACTTTTCCCTCTAAGTGTTACAAACTTCGTGGCAAACGGAATTTAAGCTATAGAAATACGAGAAGAAACTAACTAATCTAAAAAAATAAATAAGTTTGTGTAAAATTCCATTCTCAGAAACAATTCAACATTCAAAACAATACTAATCAAGTCTGCCTGATGAAATGTGAATATGTAAGCGTCAACACTTGTGACAGCTGACAAGCGTACCCTTTTCTTTATGCTGCCTTTTGGCTCTCTTTCTGTGTTATACAATTGTCATGTACTTACATTTTAGCATATGTATATTTCAATGATACTCTCTCTTCTTCTCTCTCTCTTCATTCTTTGAGGTTTCAAGGTATTTACGTTTCAATTTTATTGCCATTGTGGTTTGTCTTCTATTCTGCAATTCAATTGCTTCTTTGGAGATTCTACTTTTAGTAAGAAGATATTAAAATGTACCTTTTAACTTGAATATGCTTTAGCCTGCTTAGCGTAGCCATAATATTTTCTTGTACAGATATATGAACATATATAATATATAGATGTGTTTGTATTAGGGTAATACAAAATTAACGAATAACTACTAAATTTAGATTTCTAAATAAAAAAACTCTCCCTTCGATAATTTAGTATCACCTTAATGCACACACATCTATATTTTACATATGCTGTTTTCATTCTTTAATTGTTTCTTTAAATTCGATTAAGAAAATAAAAGTTAAAACATAGATTTTTTGGAAATTTTAACTGTATATAACCAGCTATAATGAAAGATTTATTATTTCGTTTAATATTCAAACTTCGAACCTTAAAAATATAACCACTCACAGATGAATTCAGTTTTCGTTTATACGAGTAGTTTTCGGGGTTACGGTGTACTGCAAACCTTCACCGCAGTCTTCATGCAACACATCAAAATCCCCTCTAAACATAACCAAAATGTTCATATGAAATGGTTTTCAACTCTTTGATTTTAGAAAATTCGAAGAAATATTTATTTGCCACATTCATATGCCACCCTAATGTAATTTCATTTTTCTACGCTTTTCTCATATTTTATTGTTGTTCTTTTAGCATACGTTTCATTTTGTCACTTACTATTGTGAAAGCATTATAAATAGCTTTCTTCTGCTCTGACAATGCGTTATCAGTTTCATGAATTTATTATGGCTCTGTTTACATTTGAACTTGCATTCGTAAAGACATCAACGTAGATTGTCGTAAGACCACAACAAAATGGCACATCCACATGACTATAGTCATATCTTTACATTATAAATGTCAGCTTGAATTAGAACTGTGGTTATACCACCCGCATACTCACACTCACACATATATAAATATATTAATTGTGACAAAAAATAAAAAAAAAAAACAAGTATGGAAGGGCTAAGTTCGGGTGTCATCGAACATTTTATACTCTCGTATGATAAAGTGATAATCGAGATTTCAGGCGTGGTTGTGAATCGATTTCACCCATATTTGGTACATGTCATCATGGTGTTAAGAAAATATTTTATACCGAATTTCATTGAAATCGGTTGAGTACTTCCTGAGATATGGTTTTTGGTCCATAAGTGGGCGACGCCACCCCCATTTTCAGTTTTTCAAAAAAGCCGGGATGCAGCTTCCTCCTGACATTTCTTCCGTAAAATTTAGTGTTTCTGACGTTTTATGTTAGTCGGTTAACGCACTTTTAGTGATTTTCA